ACTTGGGGCTACTACCACATACAAACACCATTCACGTACGATGTGTAGTTTTGGCGAAAAAGTGAAATATAGGGACATACATGTCCATTTATATATATATATATATATAGATGAATAATTTAATAAAGTTGTTAGTTGAAAGAAAGGAGGAAAAAATTATTCTTTTCGTCATTCTAGATAGAAAAATTCAATTGAGGATATGAAACCTGATCAGAAATCGATCTACAGATGCTCCATACTAAAATATAATAAATCTCTCTCAATCTGCTCCACCCCAATGCTATTATATATATAACTTCTGTATCTTGAAAAATTCCTTAAAATAATTATTCTATATTCGAATTACACTCATATAAATCGGTTTAAATAAGACAATAATAATAATAATAATCTTAATAAACTACAGTTTAATCATCTAAACTAATAATTATCTTAACTAATTAAGCATACAATATAATCTTATTAAAATAATTTAATTTTGTTATTATAAGCCGGAATATATTTGGAAATAAGTCATCCAAATAGGCATTAATTTAGGATTTATATGCAGAACACAATTTTCTCTCGGGTAACAATGGATGAATGCCAATATATCATTTAATATGCTTCATATAACTTAATGAAAACCTAGAATTTTATATTATGAATGCAAATTTTGTTAAAGTTTGTTTGTGGTCTGGTTAAATTAAAGTCCATTTAAAAAAAATAATAGAGTCTAATTTATTATATATGTGTTACTGTGATTTTAATTAACTATTAAATCGAAGTTAATTAAATATAAATTAATTTTATACTATTAATCCTGATAATACTTTACATGTAAACATTCTTGAAACTACTAATACTAAAAAGAAATTTATAGTCTAGATATCTAAAACAAAAGTTTAATTAATCATCGATTAAAGTTAATTAAATATAACATAATTAATTAAGAATTGTAGCATTAATTTTCACGTAAAATATCTAAATTTTCTAAATCTAATTAGGCTGTAAAATGTAGTAGTCTCTTTTATAATGGGTGATTGTAATTAAACTATTCCTATTCAACGTTGTCTGCAGAGATATTTATCAGTTCAAATGTAACTAAATCTGGAGTATAGTAGTATTTTAGGATAATAGTACCAAAACTCACCACTATGGCAGTTTTGGCACTGCAAGCCATAACTTTTTCATTTGTACTGTACCTGTACATGACACTGGTGTTGTAGAGATCTTAGCGATGCAGGATATAGCCTACTGTTCAATATAATTCCCATTCTAAAAGTTTAAAATTTGAGGGTGATGAACATTGTGTTCAATGGCCGACCGTAATTAATCCTCTTGCCTCTCACATGCAGTGTGATACTGTCTTTCAAGGCTGTAAAATATGCAACATGCCATCAATAAACCACACTTTTTAACTGTCCCCACAACCGAAAATCATATGGATTAAGATTCATAGCGCCAAAAGTGCCATAGTGGTGAGTTTTGATACTAGATTTAGTTGTGTTTTGGACTACTAAATATCTCTGTAGACAGCGTTGAATAGGGTGGTTATTTTAATTATGATTATCCGAAATTTTATAAATAAATCATTCATAGATTCGATTTTTTAATGGTAAACTACACTCATGAGAAGTTAATTAAAAGTATCTGAATTTCATAACTTTGGCAAAATTTTAATTTATTATTAAATTAATAAATTATAATGTATAATAATCAGTAAATAAATGAAGTAATATTGGTCTCGAATTACAAAAAATACCTATATATATTATTATTATTATAAATTACAGATATTGACAAAAATATTTTAATAGCGATTTATCGAAGACGGATATCAACAAAAGTGGGCGTATCTAAGTAGGAGTATCTCAGTAGACGTTTCATATTTCATAAACCAATCATCATTAANAAAAAGAAAGTAAAGCTGTGTAGGTTACAGTAAATATGTTTTGAAAGGAAACTTCCAGGATCGATAATTTTATAAAATAAATAAAAATAAAATATTCGGGATATTGTATAATCATTTTTTTTCTATTCTCCCGTTCTTTTTAACTTATTCATGATTTAGGAAAAGTAGGCCAATTCGGTAGACTCATTACATAAAAGACAAAATGTCGAGCGATAATGGTCCCATTGGTGTTAAAAGAGGGTGGAATTTTTGCATTTTTCCCCTCTTTAATCGTTATTGGAATAATTTATATTCTTCTTCATTAGCATAAACTATTAATCATCTCAACAAGTCTTAACCTGAAAAATCGAATTAGCAATATGTTCTTGCTGAATAAAAGATAAATTAAATTTCTACAGTGTTACCTTTCTTCCTTCTCTATTAAAATGGAATCCTTTGCTCCACCCATTCTATTGGTTAAGATCGGAGAATGTCAAATTTAAAAAATATTTTATAGAAAACACGAAATTTTGTTCAGTACATCACTTTGAAACAAAGATTTTTTGAAAAGAAACGTGACGATCCTCTTAACTTTATCTTTAAAATCTCTTAGCGTTTTCTTTTTTTTCTTCTTGGAAATAAAAATCTCAATTTCGATTAAGGGAAATTTAAATCCAGAAAATTGAATTTAAACCCTGGCATTTAGTGGTCATTTTTTATTTACGTTGATTTATTACGTGAGCCGTGCTCAAATTATACAATTTATAAGCTTATATAAATATAACGAATGGATTTAATTTTAGAAAAAAGGCAAAGAGTCACAATTCGTGTTATTCGAGAAAGACCGATGAGGAAAAAGTAAGAAATAATTCACTCTTTTTTTCGTTACAGGGCCATATATTATCCGTAATGCATTACGAAAATACTTTTTCCTCAATTATTATTTAGTTATTTAAAAAGCTTTTCCGAAATGTTTACCTTATATCCGGGAAAAAATACTAAATAAGGGAGTTTCTACAGAAAGGATCCTTATTTAGCCCTAACAAAGAGAGCTCCATTCATCCGCTTATAAAAGCAATGCAGAACCTAAAGAAACTAACATATATCACTACATTTGGCACAAGATACAACCTGTGTTTCCGTAAGACTCACCGGGGGGCCGTGTCGTCAGACATGTTGGAACCCAGTGACTTATGACCTTTTGCCCCACTGGTTTGGGTCCTCCAAATACTTTATGGCGATTTCAGCTACGTCATGACGTATGACAGTAACGTCTCGGTCACACACATAGCTTGCTGCGAAGCTAAAATACTGGGCACTGCAGAAAACGACATTAACTGTACCATTGCTTTTCTTTAATGGTTGTCAGCTTATTCCTTTCTATAGAAACAGCTTGAACGGCTTCGCAGGGAGAAAAATTTATCTGAAATGTTGTAGCAAAGCAGAAAAACATCTGCTCTAATAAGCCTGTTGATGTTTTACAATATTATTTTAAATTCATTTTATCTAGTTTATGGTCAAAGTGCAATTTTTATTTGATTATGTCTCAGAGTAGATGTAAAAACGCTTTTTTCTTATATTATTCTTCTACGGGAAGAGAAAAGAAAAAAATTTATCCTCTCGCACGGCTCTTTTTCTGCTTCCAATATCCTGTAGATATTCTGACTGCCATATTGAAGAACACATTTTTGTTCTCAAGAACTTCGCGATGTTCGACTATAAGAGAATTCCGAATTTATTGTTCTAACTTCTTTCCGTTGTAAATATCCATTCAATATCAGCTCTACTGTTCTAAGCTTATTTCTCTTACACTTATACGATTAAACGAGTCCAATTCTATTAATATTTTTATATTTTATTCAACGTCGACGTTACGTCCTTACTCGATAATTTATGATACGTGTCATAATTTATACCATGTTTTACGATTTGTCACGGATGGTCAGTCATAAATTTCTATTTATTTATGCTCGTTCGTTACCTCATTTGAGGTTGCTCGGCGTGTGCAGATTTATTTATTTATTTGTTCTGCCTCATTACTGTTGCTTCTTATATGTGGCTATTTTTCATTTTTAAATCTTTCCCAGCGTGACGTAAAATTATCTGGAATTTCCAAAAAATATTATCATTACCCTGGTTTGATTAATATAAGAAAAGTTTAAATTATCATCTGTAAAAAGAAATTCGTCTTATCGTTAACTTTCAAACATTATTTTATCGCAAAAATATTTTATGGCAATACTTTTTTTCCAAATAGAACTACAGATAAACTAATTGTAACGTTATTAATATCATAATTTAAGGTATTAATAATAAAATAACATCTAATATAAGAGATAGCTATCATTGATTATTAAATTATCTTGCAGATATTACCAGATCTATTAGTTGAAGTCTATCGGCGGAGCATATCAAAAGTCCAATTTATTATTAAGATAATGATTTGTATAGAAGATTAAATGAAATTATTTTTAATTAACATATAATTACACGAAATGACGTCATTATTTTCCTATGGAAAGAATATTTTTGAATAGATAAGATGGAGAAAATATTAAATTCGATAAGAGAAATGTGGACGATTTAAAAAAATATATATTATAATAAAATTCGACAATAAAAATTATCTTTAGCAAAATTCTTATACAAATTTTCGTTTTTTTAATGTTAAAATTTTATTCTAAATAAAATTGTTATTGTTATTTTAATCCTTTTTAAATTTTCATAAATCGATCAGGAATAAAATGTATCTTATTTTCTTCTTCTTTTTTTAGAAATTTCGTGTATAAAATAATATATAAATATATATATATATTTTAAATTTTATATTCTCAACTGTGTTATGAATAAATAATTGAATATATAAAATACTGGCAAGTATAAAAATATATGCAAGAAAATGTTTCTATAAAGTCTTATATAAGACTATATAACTTGATATATAAAACACAGGACAATTGAATAAAAATTTATTTTAAATTTAAATAGAAAAATATCGGTATTAAAAATAAATAAACCAATTCCAATTTTTATATAAGATTGTTTTTATACAAATATATATATATATAAAAGGAAAAAAATTCTTCGGGCAGTTTTCAAATTTGTTGCAATTTAAAGGATGTTTTTTGACTTTGTAAGTAGCAACGATAAAAATACAGTGAAGTTTTCAAATTCTATTGTAATATTGGCATATGCAAATAATTCATGGAAATTGAAGGATGCAGCCAACAAAGATTACAGCTGTTTCCTTAAAGAAGTATGGAAATGTAAAGGTCACTTTGTCCTGCCTAAAGTTTGTCGTAGAAGAAAAACTCTCCAACCCTATGGTGGAAGATCAATGATACAACAGTAAGTTCCACTACGAGATTTACCTGGAATTCGATTAAGCTCAAAAAATCGATATTTACTAGAAATGATGCTCAGTAATATGTCAATTCTTTAGTGTCTTTTATAAAGAAAAATCCGTTTTGTTCGTCTAACGTATAGAACTGCAGTCATTTTCCTAACACTACAAGTTTCTAACTGGATTCGGGGTGACGTTATTGCATGACATTTCGGACGATTAATTAAACAGTTCAGCAGCACGGTTTAGAACTTGTGCAGAAGAGAGAGAGCGAGAGAGAGAGAGAGAGAGGGAGAGCAAAGTCGATGCTAGCCAGAGACAGGTTGACAAAGAAAGTGGCGTCACTCTTAAATTGTTAGATCTAGGAATTTTTAATGCTTTAATTAATATTTCTAACGAAAGAAAAATATGTTTAGTAGTCATTTAATTCATCAACTAATTCTCAATTAATTAAATATAATATTTAATCTTTGTTTCCTTTTATATATATAGCTATATATATCTTGATATATGATTAGATGTAATCAGAAAGTGTAGAGTATATAGATAACTTGATACCATTTTTGATAAATTGATGTTAACTTTTCTTCTATTTTTTCTTTTTTTTTAACTCTTTTCCGGTTATCGTGATAAAATTTCTTTTAACCGACAGCGAAAATACTTGTTGAACGTTATATAATAAATTTCCCCAATTATAATTTTTCTTTAACAATAATTAATTAGTGGAAAGCTATTTTAAAAAATGCATTTTTTAAGTTTGATTTCTAACATTTTTTTTGCAATTTTCTTCTTTCAATATAATCTAATCGAGATATTTTCAGGTGTGGTCGTATAAAATACATCAAATATATCAAAAATTCAACCGTAATCATCGAATTTATTCTCTTCAGCTTGTAATTCTGATGAGTTATGAAGACAGACAAATCGAACACGCTAACGCTTTACAGCAAGAAATAACGAATATATATTCTTAGAAAACGAAAATATAGATTTATTCCTAGAAAATATCCCTAATTAATCTTACTGTTAACAGCTGAAATGTCCCCACGGATGAATAGTACGAGTAATAACATGTACTTAATGAGTGGCATCGGATAATTTTGAGGATTGCGTTCCATCATATTCACGAGTAGCAATCACCGATCACGAAAATCTTGTCATCATTCGTGACGCGTTAACCCAGAAAATGGCGACGAAAAAAAATAATAAAACAAAATAAAAATAAATCTTGCAGCACGATAAAAGAGTAAAATTATTGTTTGCACTTCAAGCCGGATGAGTTAATGGTGTGTTAGTTAATTCGCCATTACGTATCAAATTCTGCCATTATTAAGTCACAAGAGAAAAGATAATTATGTCAGAAGTATTGTCGTCTAAATGTTGTACAACTTCAGATAACTATGTGACTGAGCAGAAAATTGTAGGCGGCGAGTAAATAGATGTTTCTGTGATTAATTTCTCTACTAAGAGCGTTTCTGTATATTGACTTGTCTGTTAATACTAATGACACCAAACCGCATTTATATGTGAAATATAAAGATTAATATCTGGCACGGAGAAGATGGGTGTTTAAATTTAAAAATTTCGTATTGAAATTCGAAATAATTGTTCATATGCTGTGAGGAAAAAAAGAAAGGAAGCTTTGATATATTTTATTTATATATGTAAAATTTCCTGTTAAGTAGACTACGTTTAACCTTAGTTATGTCACGGAAGAATATTTTTAGATAAACAAGCGTATTAACTGAGGATTTTCAATAGCGAATTTTCTTTGCATTTATATTATGATCGTGCGCTTTTCGATATCTTTCTTTGTTAGAGCTGATTTCGATTTTTCCGTCTGAAGCGTGCAAAAAGCAATTTTCGTGTTTCGCTGCTAATGATCTCTGATCACGGAAGGCGTTTCGGAAACTATAAATATTGTATATTTTCACATTAATAAATGAAAAGGAGGAGAAATGCGTTAATAAAATAACGACATTTTTATAAGTACATCAGTTGAAATGACGTTTAATAATGTAATTTAATCGCTACAATTTTTTAATCGCAATTTATTTATTGTAGATGATTTTTTCCCTACTGCACTATTTTGATTTTTTTAAATTATCTCCTTTGATTTTGATTCTTTAGGTAACGCCTTGCCTTTCTTCTTGGAATTTTTTCCTTTATGCGGGTATATTTTTCCCTATACGGAGATCGATTTTGATTTGATCTTAATACAGGTCAACTCTACCCTTTACATAGCACGATTTTACTCTATATTACAGACTACTTTTATTTTTTTTACCACTTCCATGCCTTACATAGCCTATCCTTAATTCTGTTTGCGAGATTTTCCTTTTTAATTTCATAGGAATTCACTCCTTTGATCCTTCTTTTGATACCATTTTTTGAGAGATTTAGACGTTGCTCACTTAATCTTATTGTGTTTATCGGTCTAGTCTGCATTCAATACAGATGTTTAACCTTCAGGCGGCTCGATTTTAATTCCTTTCTCAAGTCGACTTGGCTTTCTATGCGGAATTCTAACCTTTATGCACCGGATTTTAATTCCTTTCGAGGAGTCAACTTTACTTTCTGTTGCAAACTCCATCCTTTATGTGGCTCAGTTTTTTTTTATCTCTTTGCAGATCAGTTCTGAAGCTTTTTGCAGAAGTCGTCCTTTATATAACTTACTTTTTATTCTTCTTTTTGATCAATTTTGCTTTATACACAGATTTTTTTATAAAGCTATCTTGCTCTTTACAAAATCATTTTGCGCCTTTTATATAAGTTGATACCACTTAAAATATATAATGCATTCTTCAGATATAAGATGCTCTATCTATCAAATATAAGATATTCTAACATATTAAATAAAAACCACTTAAATAAAAATATTGCTTACATCCCGAAAATCAAGTTTAAAAAAATAACACATGCTTTTTTTCTGATTCGCAGATTGTACGAAATATAAATCTTTCATTCGAGTCGATTTTAATATAATTACGAAAAAAAATTGTCATATAAAAATTATCTTAGAAGCTTAAATTCTTTTAAAATACGATATTTAATTTCCCAAAGAGCAGTTAAATTGTCTTCTAATCTAGAGAACAAGAAACCAATGGAACGAGTCATAACAGAGCAGCTCGATGACTTATCAGTAACACAAATGAGCGTCAAGAAAAACTTTATGATGTTCTTAATTTCCAAATTGAGTCAGAAACGATCGACATACAGATAATACACAACAATCATTCTTCAGATAGCAGTACTAATGACGACATAATTGACTTTAGTGGACTAAAAACAAACTTGTAATTTTAACATAAAATGGGGAAGAGTAGAGTGAGTCGAGATGAAATCAAGCAAGAGTTATTGAGAGCCACTGGCGAGATACTTGCAATTTGATTACCTAAAATTATACAGATGACATACCAGGCGTAACGGCAAAGTTCGTGAGAAATGACGACACAGAGTAGCACATATAAATGATGTACTCACGTCATACAGGTCGGCCAACTTTATGAAAGAACTTCACCTCCACCAAAACGATTCAATAGACCAAAAACGTCATTAAGCTCGATAAAAGTGCGAAATGGTTCTTTTCTTTAAAAAAATCTCAACTACAGTATGATTAATTGCTTCGAAGAAAGACAAAACGTTTGTTTATCACCAAAGAAAGTCACCGATATCGCCTTTCCATTGCATTTCATTAATGTTTCAACGTCGTTAATTAACATTAAACTGCCCGAGTCTATTCTTTCGTATAACGTCGAAATCCCATTCTTTCCAATTAAGAAACGTTTCAGACATTTTCTATTTTTGTATATTCGAAATTAAAATTTATAAAAAAAAAAATAATATTTTTTTTCCTTTCTTTAAAGAAAGATTACTTTTCTGAACATTAAGAAGGTTCTCTCTCGGCTAAACGTATATGTTAAAAAAATTCTTAGCGTTACAAAGCAAAGCAATCAATATAACAGAAACATCTACACATCATGGATGTTAGCGAGGAAGACTGATTTGATTGTCACAAATGTTGACATCAGCTAAATCTGTTCGGCCTATTCTGCAAATTCTTCAATTTTAATATTTCTAAAAGATTAACACCCGAAATTAAAAACGGCAACAATAAACAAGAGACACTCCCACTTCAAAAAATTATACACGTGTATATCATTGATATATCTAAACGCGTTAATATTAAATTAATCTAACTATAAAAATATATCAAGCAGATTTTAAAAGTTGTGCATTAACAAACATTAAAGAATATTTATGATACTTTTATTACTCCCATTAGTGTTTATAGTACGGTGTATATTAATTTATATATTAACTTAATGCTTATTAAGGCCATATAATTTATATCCTTGTATCTTTTTAGCGATAAAATTTAACAGAGTGGGGGAGAATGAGGTTTGTAAAATTTAATTCCGGTTTAGTCGAAGGTGTTTTGTGTTTGTTAAGCGGTTTCAGTTTAGGTTAAAGCAGGAAAGTGTTTTTTATTTTGCTTTTTTTTAAAAAAAAAAAAACTTTTTTTTCTGGTAAACAAATATGAAAAATATTCAAAAATTTCGAAACTACTCTCAGAGAGTGGTATCTTCACTTTACAGAATTATTGAACAAGCGAGGATCTTTCGTCAAATCACAGAATTTATTTGTGACAGGTAAAGAAAAATGGCTTGTACACAGATGGTAACGTCGACTAACATCCTACATAAAGAAGAAAGAGCCTTTCACACTCCAGGATGCAAAGATATATAAGCTTGTTTGAATCTCTCTATCATTATTAAATTTATATAACTCTACTCTAAGAACTTTTTCTAATATATCCTACTTGATAAAAATAAAACTATAAATATCGATACTTAATCTTGTTTTGTTCTTAAATTTTCAAAGATTATTACCGTAACTCAGACCTAGTTTTTAAAACAAGTGTTTTGAAATTCAATTAACGCACCCACCAACGTTTAAGAATGTTTTAAATAAACATCGAAAGCCGTAACCTGTGGCAAAGAATCATGCAAATTCGCCCATTAGTGTAATGATGCTTGTACACACTTAGGAAAGATTTTCTTTAAAGAATTTTAAATTTTATCTTAAAAATATTTTGAAGTTATATATTTAATAAGAATTATATATTATTTTTTAAAGAATTTTTTAAATAAAGATTTCGATTATATTTACTTTTAAATCTGACGCGATCGAATTTATCTACTTTTGAGAAAAGTAATTTATTGAAGTTAGAATTCCATCTTACGTTGCAGTTATTTTATGTGTTGTAGGTGCATTCAATCAAGTGGATGTCGTCTAGGATGACATATGTGACGTTCTGATTAACGCATTCTCTTAAATTAAAAGATTTATACAGTGCCGAAGAAAGATTTCAGTTCATTGAACTCAACGACTCCTTGGTAAAAACCTAAATACCTTGGAGAAGAAAATATATTTTCTGTAAAAGAATAAAGTTTCGTTTACCTTGTAACGGAGCATAGATATTGAGGTAAAGACAATCTTCACTCTGATTGACGAGATAGGGTAGGAGACGGCGAAGATATAGAAGACGACCCGAAGGCATCCTGCGAAGAGCCTCTGTCTCATTGGTAATATCCGGAAGACGTTGGGGACAGACGGGACCGAACTGATCCGCATTTCTCACTCCTTTCCAATGAGCGGGTGTCACCGGTGGCATGAAACGTAAAGAACCCATTGGTGGAGTGGCATAGGGAACACCCAAAAATATTTCGACGGGCTTTAATTGCCGGTTAGGAAGGGTTGCAATGGAACCGCGCAGGGCACCATACTTAGTGGTCACCACACGGGAACTTAAATGTCTCGTAGCAACTGAGTCAACCAATATCCATAACAGTATTAAAAACACTAATGAAGTAGTGTCGTATATATTGACTTTCTTATTCATTCTTCACTCACCCACTCTCTAGTCAAGCCCAAAGCACCTAACACCATCTCCCCAATCGGCACAAATTCGGCTAAGGCGATACTTTTCCCCTTTCTAACTTGATTTAACTCGTATATACACTCCGGATAACAGAGATAGTTTTAGAAGCGAGATTTAAACACATCGATATATAATGATAAAAGCACTATGTCAACAGAAACAAACGTCTTGCAATGAAACAGTCGACGTACTACGAGTACGACTGAACATGTTCGACCTGACCAAGCTATTGTGCGCATGAGCATTACGCATTCGGTCTAGGACCACGTGGTGTCTGCCTAAAACCGTTCGATACGCCACAGGTCGAAGAAGAAGCTAAAGACAGCAAAGCTTACCAAGGAAATTGTTCTTAAGCAAGGCACGAATTACTCGGTGGCTGTTCACCTAGATTAACCAGCAACTGACATGATGTAAAGGCTACTCGGATAACGTGTACAAGGCATTTATACAATCATAAAGATCTTATTCTTTGACACCAACCAGTCCATTAGCACAAAGTTTGGTGCGCGTTTTATGACATAGTTTTGTTAGATTAATAATTTACGTGATGCAACAAAACGACTAGAGTGTTTTTATACGAGTTAATTAAGTTAATGTCACAACAAGGGAGATGGTGTAACTTTAATACAGCATGTGATGCGAGATGGAAAGTGATGTTGGCAATTATTTGAAAGACGTGTTAGCGGATGTGTAACTCATGCGGAATCCATCTTTATCCATACATTAATTAATATACCATAATTAATTAATTAATATGCCATAACGTCTAAATGATACTCCATACGTTATAAATATTGTAAAAGAGAAATAGCCTGAAGTACAGTAAAGATTATTGGTAGTGATATATATTTTGCTTTTTTTTTATTCGCTACACGGTATTAGATCATTGATCGATGCACTTTAACAATTTCGTTCGAACTGCAATATTTTATCACGAAGAAAAAAAAAATATATATATATATTATATTGCAGAAAAACGATTTATGTATTTCCAATAATATATTATTGAAATGTATGCATATTCAAAGGTGATTTTAAGTTTAGATGGAGTTCTGTTTAAAATGTAATCTTGCTCAGCTTGTTATTCATCAACTATCAGCATCCTCATTACTGCTGATGATTTACGAACGAATGTTTCTAACAAGGAATGCGAACGTTCCGGATTTATTTTCCGACTTTTCTCTCTCTACAGATATCGTACTTCATTCCAAAAATGTATCAACGTCTTACATCCCCCACTCTTATTTATTTTTATAAATAAGCTTATATACTGCCGATGTAATTATACAAGTGTAATAAAACAAACTGGAATGAGTTGTAATCTGTGTTTTGTTACACCTGTTCCTAGACATTATTGGCAGAATGCCTGCAAAACAAGTTGCTTTTGTGGTGACATCGATTCTCCAATTAGTTGAAGATTACAACAGAGAAAAGAGCAGAAATTTCTTCTTTTTTCCCCCTTTCTATTTATTATATCATAACGGATCAGAAGGATTTTTCTAAATGGGCATAAAGAGAGTTTGTTGGAACTTTAAAGGATCGAATGTCATTAATTTATTTTTATGTAATTATATAACAATTCTATTCAATTTAATCATCAAAAATAGCAAAAAATCACTAATAAAATCTCTCTTTCTATATATATACTATAATGGCATCCCATTAAGTTTATTTACTCTATGAAACTTTAATCTATATAAGCACAGTTTGAAGTTTAGCAAAGTCTTCAATGTGTTTTTTAGGTTTATTGAAGTAATCCTTGACGATTATTTTGAAGAAATAAATGAAAATATGTATTTTTATACCACACTCAATAAAATTAATCTTTAAGTTTTGCTCTAATATAGTCATGTGTAGAAATACTAGAAATAAAATAATTAAGATTTCAATTTGTTAATATTGCTAAGTACATTATAATAAATTAAGATAATTTTCTCTTCGTTTAACAATTTTAAATTGAATCATACGATAGTGATTTGATGATTTGCATTCCGATTCACAAGAATTAATCCTAATAATAATCAGTAGAAAGTTTACATAAATTTTGTTTTGGTGAAGAGAAAATTCTTAAGCTAAACATTATAATTAATATAAAATCTCTTAAAATTAAGTGAAGAAGAAAATTTTAAAATTTATTCGAAAAATTTGTAAATCGGATTATTAATCAGTTGAATAATTTTAAAATAAATATTTAATCATAAACACCTCTTTGATAAATTTCGATGAAGTCAAAATGAAATTAAACTATATAAATTTTAATTAATAATTATTTAATATAAATTATAATTATATTTCATTCACAAAGTGAATTGTTTCATTTTAATTTAATTTTTTTATAAATTAATATTAAGTAACAAATCACTGTTATAGTTAACTAAAAAGAGAGCTATTTATAAGATAATTGGATAATTTTGTATGTTGTCTCATATTTAATGACCAATCATCGTAAGAGTCGAACGAGTCAGACGACGCTAATTGGCTAGCTTTATTTAAAAGAAAGTGAAACTCAACTCTGATTGGGTATTGCGTAAATAAACATTTTAAAAATATTTTTTGACTGATACAAAACATTTTATAGAATATTTTTGAAGAAACGAAACAGATTTTTGAAAAATTATATAAATGTTAAAAATCAAATATATATATATTTTTCTATGCAAACAAAAAATATAAGTTATATATATATATTTTTTTTTCTTTTTAAATTTCTACATTTTATCGTTTTCTGAAGTTTCGGTGTGTTTTGAATCGAGATTCCTTTATATTGTGTTTATATTGAATAGAAGTTCTGTTCAGAAACATGGGCATTGCGATAAACAAACCCTTGGGCGTTACCAATCAACAATAACTTAGGTATTTGTCATTCCATTTCGGTTTATCCATTGATTAATTGCATTCAATCTCAATCAAGAATAGGAACATGCAAATTTTGACTTCGGGGTATGCATTTTAAACATTTAATTGTTTTAAAGTTTATCATTTATAAATTTAAAATATTTCCTGTATTTTAGTAACAATATCGAAAAAATAAATCAGGTTTTTATAAAGATTTTTCCTTTCTTCAGATTGGAACAATTTTTGAAGAAACGTATTTTTGTTATCTAAGCTCGGTTTACCTCAATCGATTTAGGTCCATATAGTATTTATATCTCTATAACGGCATTTAAAAATCTTTAAAAGAGTATTAAAGATTTCTTTTAAATTAAATTTATATAATAAGCTTTAATTTAAACAATAAAAATTCCGTCCTGGAAAAATTGGCTTATGAATAACCTACTATTTTTTTAAAAATATTTTTACTATATTTTTAATTTAGAATATGTTTTTTTATTTATTAGGTTATTTCTTATTATCAGAATCTACTTTAAAAATATCAATAAGCTGATACTGTATATCGAATAATGTATTAAGACAGTAAAGTGGAAATGTGATCGTTAGTAGTTTGCCTTGAGGCACTTTGGCGATTTGAGAAATCAGTTGCATTGATGGAAGTAAAGAGTAAGTCTAACCATTGACAACGTGGCTAAAGTAGTAGATTAGGTGTCTGATAGCTTTTGAGAACTTCAAAGAAACAGAGAAAAGTGTTGTTTAAGTATCTTCAACGTCCCCTTCAAAAAGTCGGTAATGGACCTTTGAAATCCGTACCGAGATTGTGAACAGACTCCTTAAATAGGTAAAACAGCTTAATTATCTTAGTTTATATATACATTTCACTTATACCTTAATAAAAAAAAATCGAAAATATCACCCTATTATTAAAGTAATCATTTATTTTAAAATCTAATCATCCTACATAACGTTTACAAAATTCGAAAATTGAGGCGTTTACTTAATTAATTTCTAAAACTGTGTTATTATCACCCTTTTTTTTAGCCGGTAAAGTTTTGGTATTGTATTAATAATCATCGTTTGTATAACTGATGAGGTTTGACATAAAAAAAAGATAATTGATATTTATAACCATAGTTATTTTACTTCAATAATAAGGTAATACAGTATTAATGATTCTTTTACAACTCACCAGTCAGGATCGAATTTTGGAGAACGAATAGAACATAGCGACACATGATATTGACATCTGTAAAAATAATAACTTGATAAATATATGGGCTTTTTTTTATAACAGGACAAACATTCTATTCAATAGCTCTTCCGTAGCAGAATAAGGAAGATAAAAATTTCATCGTTCAACATATTTTCTGGAGTATTTTTAGAAAATTTTATTCAATATTTTGATGCATTTTAAAAATAATTACTCGCTTAAACTAATGAATTTCAAATATCAAAATAAACAACTAATTAAAATAAAAGTTCTGTTAAAAGAGTTTAATGTAAATTAATTAATATAAAAGCATTTAATATAAAATCAATATTAAACATAATAAACCTGAGTAGAAACGTTAGATTTTATTCTATTTTTGTACTATTATACAGAGTATTATATATTATAGAATATAACTTATAATAAATTATATAGATTTATATAAATTATACAGTACGTTCTATAGTAAATAGATTATTATCCAGCATATAATAAAGCCAACTGTACAAGAATATGTAGTGTAAATATTCATACTGGATTATATACATTCAAATTTTCAAGATTACATTAATAAATCCATAATCAGATTTAAATTTAAATAGATCTAACAGAAAGAGTAAAGAATAAATTCCTATTTTAATAACAATGTTTATATTAGATTATTGTATAAATTGTACTGTACATTTGACATTTAAGATTTGACAGGTAATACAATTTAAATGTTAAAATTAGCAAAATAAAATCAATAAAATTCACCTTTATACAAAGTTATATGACATATGTAAATTATATATAATTATAAATTATCGAATTTTATATATTTAACTATTTAAAGCATGTTAAATTTTATAAGAATATAGGAAATGTGGTAGATAATATTTTAGATTTTATTTTTTTATCGTCTTTCTGAATTTTTCTCTTTAAATTTTCAATTTTGAAGGCTTATAAATTATTATTGATATACCAACCGAATATGTGTGACGATAAACAACTACTATATTATTAAATTTATTCGAAAAATATAAATTTGATCGAATATAATTTTAATATGTATTTTGTTTTTTCTTATCGAATTTTAAGAACGAAGTAAATTTAAATGGAAAAGTATACGTGGAAATAAAATAGCAATAAAAAACTGCACTGAATCTCTAACTTTACTGGAAATGATTAAATAAAGAA